TATATATTATCTAGTATAATATTTAATATAATATATAATATATAACATTATCTAGAATATACATAATATATAATATAAAATAAAATAGTATACTTATATTCCGCTATAAACCCACACAGCTCTAAAGACCCTTCAAGGATACCCTGTATAATAGCCATATTATGCTTTGTGAGCAGATCCTTTCCCGGCCTTTGCATCTCGAAGCAGGGCTTGCTGCTTTGTGAGAACCTGATGTTTGGCAATTGCGACTGCACTTAAGAAGGGTTGCTTTAGCATAGGCGGGTTTAGGGTTTAGGGTTTAGGCAAGCCTGGCCTCGATCTGTCGTTGGATTTCGGCTTCGTCGGCAGGCTCTTCGGACTTCACGACACCATGATTCGAAACTGCTAGGAGTATTTGGGCACCTCTAGCCAGGCTTTCCCGGGACTGCCCCACCGTGCTACTAGACTTACCCTGCTCCATTGCTTCGGGCCGCAGGATCCTGCAGGCATGAGTGATTTCAGGCCTGCTGTGCCATGTGTTGCAAGCACGAAAACTGCTCCAAGTAGGCTGGACGCCAATTTCCGCAATCTTCCCGCCAGTTTCCGCAATTGTCCCGCCAGTTTCCGCTATCGCCCCGGGCCCGCAAAATCGCACCAGGACCTGTTCTGTGGTCAAAACCTCGGCAAAAGCCCGCAAAACCTATATATTAACACACCCTGCACACCGAGTCGGGAAGCCTTGACAGGCTCTCAAAAACCCAGCCGAGCCTAGCCAGCAAAGCCCCATCTAGGCCTAAAGTTAGTCCTCTAAGCCCTGGTGCGGTTCGAGAAAAGGCAGGTCCCGAGGAAAGCGGTACCTATCGATCAAATGTTTGAAACTTGATGGAAGGCACACACCCTTTGCTACCCTCAAGTACAGGACTACCTCGTGCAAATTCGCCTCCTCCCAGTCTGTCTCATCCCAGGAATACATTGCGAAGAGCTGGTGCAAAGGCTGGTCCCACCTCATGTCCGAGTCGGGGACCTGCGGCAGCTGGGCAGTCTGATGGTTCTGATCGAAGGATAGAGTGTGCAGAATTTAGGATCGGGGCTGTGTGTGCATGGGAGTTGGACTACTGGCTTCGTCGGGGCTGTGTATGACTTAAGTTAAGTGGCCTGCACTGATAACCCTTGTAGAGCACGGGTTGGGTCAATCATCTCGATGATCTTTCGGGCAAAGCCAGGCGGATAGGTCCTGCAGTAGTATCCACTATAATGATCAGGGTTTAGGATTCGGGTTTAGGGTTAAGGGCTTAGGGTGTGTTGATGCAAACCATGCAGACTCCAGCACATCGCAGACAGTTCTAGCCCTATTGAAGCCAAGAGTCGCGGAGGCCTTAAGGTTCTCGTTGCCTTGAAACCTCTTCCTCCCAGCACGATCGATATAGACCTTCGTGGTTTTTTTTGTAGCCTGTCGCTGCTCTGCTGTCAGCTTGCCAAGGTCAAAGGCTCTGATGTAGGGTGTTGTAGCCCAAGTCAAGGATTTCTTGGGGTTGGGGTGGCCGAAGTGCTTCATGTAGAACTTCTGAAGATAAACCTCGATTGCAGCTGTACACAGTGCATGTTGACGACATGGTGTGCACCCGCAGACACATGCATGTATGCATAGTTAATATACAGACCAGCGACAGCCACCCCGTGATCCTGAAGAACTTGCGACACCCAAGCGAACCGGGGATACCATCCCAGAACTGAGCTTCCTGGATTTTCGACAATCCAGTGGTGGCCGAGCACCACCAGCAGTAGTAGAAGTAGGCAGGTCCTGTGATGCAGGGTTCATTTTCATGGTTTATATGATCTAGCTACTGCATGACAATTGCACAACATATCCAGCTATCCTCGAAGTCGCTTCGTTTGCATCAACCACGGAATCTATATTGGTGTTTCCCCATGGAAATAGCTCGGTCCGCTTGCTGGTGCCTTGATTAATAGACACGAAAGTCGAACACTCGATCCCGAGGATGGCAAGCGCTCCACGTGGCGAGCCCGAGAGTACCATGAGGACGGCAAGCCTGGGCGTGCAGATTTATAGCGGGCTTAAGGCTCGGGCTTATATGTAAGGTTAGGGTCAGGCTTGGGGTTTAGGAGTTTCTTTAATTGGTGGTTGGTTCATTATTATAATAGCTAGCTGCAACCGTTTACAAGGAGCCGATAGATTTATCAAACGTCCTACAATATGCTGCGGTGACCCCAATATCGCCGGTATCTACACCACTACAAAGGAAGGTCATATGGGATATATATCATATACATTAGCCCTTGCAAGAAAAGCTTAACCGGAGGTTAGGGCTCAGGGTGTTGCGAATATATTTTACTCGTGAGATTGATTAAGCTCCTGGGAACAAGTGGGGTTGGGGTGTGCATAGGATCGGGAACCTACAAACAAAAGCCATGTGATGGGGAACAGGGTTCTCTCTCGTTCACTCGTTTACTTTCTCTCTCTCTGTCTCTCTCTCTCTCTCTCTCTCTCTCTCTCTCTCGCTCGCCCTCCCTGTGTCACTGTCTCTGTACCTCTATATCCCTCGATATCCTGACCCCTGGGGATCGAACTTTATTTTTCTTATATAGCCTTATATCCTCCATGATAGATTCATATGATTCGTTCATGGCAATATACTGTAATATAGACCTTAACCAAAGACCCTAAAGATCTAGCCAACTATATTAAACCCCCGCTACACCCATAAATCCCGAAACCCCTAAACCCCGAAACCCTAAACCCTAAACCCTAAACCCTTCCTCTAAAACCCTCACCCCTAAATTAGATGTGAACCACATGTGCACATACAGTGTGTCTCCAGTGCATTTAAAGCCTAGAATCGCAAAGCCACTGTTCTGATTCAAGTCAAGTGCAGATCTCTGGCCAGGGTCGTACTCTCGGTCTGCAGCGACAGCCGTATATCCTGCCGCCCGGGCCATTCTAGTAACCCTCGCCTTTCCTGCGTAAAGCTCGATGATATCGAAAGGATAGTCGCAGAACTCTGGTTTGGGGTTAAGCCAGTAGGCCATCATCACCACAGCCAGGAAAGCCTCAGATGGATGGCCATTGACGGGCCCAGGCTGCATAACTATACAACATGGGTCTTGGATGCAGAATATCCGCAGCCAAGTCTCTTTCGGGACTTTGAGTGCCATCAGTTTGCGGATGCAGCTTTGGAAAGTGGCATCATCAATCATGGCTGTCGAGAGTCGAATTGACTAAGTAGTACGGCACACACATGAACACGGAAGACACATAGAGCGACCCTGCCATGCACATATGTCGATGGATGCTGGTTTGCAATATATGCATGCATGCATGCACATGTCATGCATCCACATGGCACCTTAAGAGGGTATATGTCACCGGAGTTCGCTGTGCTTGCAACAAACAACATGATGCTCAGAGTGCGGTCTGCTTGCAACAGACAACATGATGCTCAGAGTGCGGTCTGTGCATAAAAGCAAGCCGATCCGACCAAGCCTTCATCTGAGGCTTCTGGGACTTGTCCACGGCGGGCAAGAAAGCCCTGCCCTCGTCGCATGGTCAGGCCTCGACTGGAGGATTTCATGTTTTAACGGATGGGTTAACTGTGGTCGGACATGTCAAGCTTGTGCCTGCGACTGCAAATGATGCAACAGCCATCGATGTACTGTGGACTCTTTTTTTGAGCTGCTGCATCCTGATGTCGATCCTTGATCTAGAGATTTCCCCAGCGTGCAACAGCTTCCCCCACACAATGCCGCCCGAGCTTCAAAGTGAAAGTTCGCTGCAGGATGAGGCATGTGAGCACGATAGTCTAATTTGCAAACTCAGCTCATATAACCATTCGGTTACAGTGCTTTGTACCCCGGCAGACACTATGCCTGCTTACGGAACTCATGGGCCACCTTCTTGGCAACCTCCAGGCACTCGTCGTAGCTGCCGCCGCCGGGCAACTTGAACTTTGTCATTGACCAGAAGTCATCCTGCCAGGCATGTATAAGGTTTAGGGTTTAGGGTTTAATTAGGGTTTAGGGTTTAGGGTTTAGGGTTTAAAAGGTTTAGGGTGTATAGGGTTTAGGGTTTCGGGGTTTAGGGTTTAAAAGGTTTAGGGTTTTGGATTTTTTAGGGGTCTGGGTTTGTTTCGAGCTCGTATATGGACCTCCTATGTTAAAGTTTTGAAGCTTTCCATCAGCACTGCATACCCCGAACAATGTCCTGCTCTGCACTGCCAAAGTCAGACAACTCAGATCTGAAAGCATCCCGAATCGCCATCCAGTGGTTAAGGCTCCGCTGCGTCTTCGGCCTGGCACGACGGGCGAAGCTCTTGTCTTCCTCGGCATGGCGCTTCCGCTTGAGGGTCTTGCTTTCGGACGGATCATCTCTCTGGCTCGGCTTGCTGGGGGATGGCTTTGCCTTTGCCTCTTCGGACTTGGCGCCTGCTTTGGCTTTCGGGGAGGGCTTGTTCTTGGGGCTCGAGGCAGCCTTGGGTTTCGGGGATGCTTTGGGATTCTTGGCTGCCTTGCCTTTCGGGGCTGCCTTCGGTGCTTTTTTCGGGGCCTTCGGTTCGCCTTCCGATGGCTTGGCTGGGCACGGGTCGGCTTTGGTCTTCAGCTGGGCTTTCTCGGGCTTCTTGGTTTTCTCGGGTGTTTCGAGGTCACCAGCAGCATTCTTGATGCCTTTCCCCTTCGGAGATGGCGTCTTAAGCTCCACAGCCTTGCCTCGACCACGTCCACCCCGGCCCCGACCTTTACCCCTACCGGGTTTGCACTTGCCTTGGCCACGTCCACCACGGCCCCGCCCTCTACCTCTACCAGGTTTGCCCGAAGCCTCGACATCATCAGCTGCAGCTGTGCAAGACTTCACCTGCTGGAAACGACACGGTTTGCCCTCAGGGGATCAGATGTTTTAAGCACTTTATGTGTTTAGGGTCTAGGGGCTGAGAGGGTGTAGGGTTCTAGGGTTTATGTGTTTGGGGTTATAGCCTTAAGGTGCAAGGGGTTATGGTATATAAACCTATTAAACTAATTTAATATAAACCCCGATCCTATATATATATTAAGATAATGTATATTATTT